TAATGGAATTTATTTTTTCCTTTTTTTAATAAAGAATATCAAATTGCATCGATTAATTAAAAGAAAAAGCAGCAAATATGCCCTCCTCAAAAATATCCAATTTTTATGTAACACATTTTTCATTATGAACAGTGACGTAAAATTAAAATGGTGTAACATCTGGTGAACCATTTTATAGATCATGCCTTTTTGTGATATTCGAATAAATAATCCCGAATAGTTGGGTTCGTATGTTTCGTAATTATATTCTTGTTCAACTCGCGTGGTAATTTAGTAAGAAATTGCTGGCAAGGAATTACAGTGTCGCAGTGTAAGTTTGCGCTGTTCATACGTTTATATAAGCATGGAATCTGAATTCCAAAATCCATCGTTACGCGGCAAACGAACCGTACGATGGATTTCACGTGTTTTATATCGTAACCGTGCGAAAAGCACTGATTCCCAATGCTCACTCATTGTTTGACCGACTTTAAAAGAAAATATTCGAAAATATTCGAAAACAATTGAGGAAATCATCATATTAGAACTATTAAAAAATTTGAAAACTTTATTTCCAAATAGGAAAAAATTGATCAAAATTTCAACACACCATTGTGTCTTCTTTAAGACTTCAGATGTAGAAATTAAAAAAGAAATAGATTTCATTTTCGTCTTTTTGCTTTTCAATATATTAATCGTTACAAAATAATTAAATATACCAATATATCAAAGGTAGCTGTTAAAAATCTGGAACAAAAATTAAATAAAAATATAAGCCTCAAAAATTATGTTCTCGTTCTGTCTTGTAACAGTGAAGAATAAAATTTTGTAAAATAAAAAAGGAAAAAGAAGAAATTTATGGAATATTATATTATGAATATTATATTATAGGAATATTACGAAAACTGAATAAAATATTGTTCCATATTATTTTGAATTCCAATAATATATTTTGTGGGCCTGGAATTAATGATTTATAAGGTGAGGAATATGTAAGAATAAAAAACAAATTATTCTAAAGACAAGGAAAATTTATTACTTACGGTTTCTCAAAATTTAAATCCACTTTTGTCGATATCATGTTCTCAAAAATAGTGTTCATTATCATGTTATATGTACAGGGTGTCCTAGCAACGGCAGTACAAGGAAAGGGGATGATTCTACATGAAAAAATAAGTCGAAAATAAAGAATAAAATTTTTTAATTTGAAGCTTCGTTATTGAAAAAATCGACGTTGAATATTCACTGAGTACGTGTTTGGCTGAGGATGGGCCATCAGTACAGCAGCGTACTCAGTGGATATTCAAAGTCGATTTTTTCGATAACGAAGCTTCGAATGAAAAAATTTTATTCTTTTTTTTCGATTTGCTTTTTCATGTAGAATCTCCCCTTATCGGTTGTACTACCGTTACTGGCACACCCTGTATACGGTATTAAATTGAAAACATACCGTTCATATAATAGTAGAACGTTCATTATAAGGGGTATTCATATAACAAGGGTATCAAAATTCAACCATATCTTAACCACAGAGAAACATTCGTTTCCTTAAAATCGAGAAATTGCAAATAATTACACTGGCCAAATAATTTTCCAAACTCTCATTAGCCTTTTTAATAAAGCCAAGATCTCAGGGTTCCAAACCTCAGACCTATTACTTACTGACAACTACTCAAAAACACCACAAGTCTATTTTATTTATCTTCCAATATCATCTTTCTTTATTTCGATTTGTTTTTTCATGTAGAATCACCCTCTTCATGATTGTACTACCGTTATTGGGACACCCTGTATAACATTCGTTACGCAATTTTTGATATACATTTTCTGACAAAAATGAAAAGAAACAAAGTGATCATTTATATTAATTATTGTTTTTAATAGTTTATCTGTTCTGGAAATTTGCACGAATATGTACAAATTTCTTGTTCCTGTTGTTCAAAACTCTTGAGTTTACGAAAACTTGTATATATTCTAAAAAATAAAGAATATACAAGAATTTGCGAATTTTAACTTTGTTTTTCACTTTTTGCCAATAACTGCAATCGATTTTTCGTTCTATCAATTCTTTTTTATTATATATGAAGACTGAAATATCTTCTACATTATTTTCATAAAAATTGCGTACGACTGGAATAACATTTGTTAGCGTATTTCGAAAAAGTAATTTATTTCCAAGCACACCACTCTTATCAATTATGTATAATAACAAGCTCGTGTAACTGGAATATGAAACAAATGTTTCTACACATAAAGTTATTTATAATAATTAAAGGTAGGATTAAATCGACAATTAAGGGCAATTAAGGAAAGAAGTGTATCACCTTTAAATAGTCATTGCTCTTAATTGTAGCCTTTGCTATGCTTCGAATGTTTAACTGTTTCACGCACAGGTTGCTTATGCGAATGCAGATCATGCTCTACTGGCAAAATGCGTCGATTACAACGAGTTACCGTTTGAATGGAATTACACCTGCACCTGTAATTTTGCCACGGCTGATCGGACGTTGTAATGATTCTCTGGTATCCGAAATATTTCTTTAAGCGTTGTATTACGCTCTTTTTATCTTTTACGTCCCTAGTTTCCCGCACTGCGTTGCAACATGACCGATCGTTAATATTCGAATTCGTTAGTTACCTGGAAACAAATAACGTGGTCCACTTTCTATCGTTTTTCCTCGTTTTGCTAACAGTACCGCATAGTAGCCAGCTTGTCATAAATTTCAGACAACGATGATTGATCAGTATCTTTGCGCACGTCCCGAAGAACCAGTACCCTACTGGAACTACTGTTAGTCGCCATAGAATCTGTTTCAACTGTATACACGATATGTTCAATTATAATTAGACAACGGATGTTTATGCAAATGCATGTTCTCATAGGAAATAGTTAGGGTTATGGTACCTAAGCAGAAATTTGTTTGGCTATTACAGGATCCTAAAAATTGAGTGACTTCTCCTGAACGACGATTCCTTTTTGCGATAGTCGAATGATCAACGTTTTCTATGGCAGAGTAAAGTAGATTCAATAGAATAAATGGAGTATTTTGGAGTATATTTTTCTATCGATATTTATTTATTTCTTCTAATAAAGACAAATCACTAGGGAAACAAAGATGCAGGAGATGAAATTATACAGTGGTGTACTTGGCAGACAAAATTGTTCAGAAAATAGAATCAACAACCTTTTACATTGAATTTCATTCGTTCACACAGGAACTTAAATTTTTAATCGAAACTTATAGGAGAAACTTATATATTTAATATAGATAGACTTCGTAGATTTGAAAAAAGATTAAAATTCTTTACTTTCTTGTTTCCTTTAAAGGGAACACAATTCACAGTTATCTACACACTTATGGCTGCTGAGTTACATAAATGTTTGAACGTAAGTAAATGTGTTGAATAACATTCGGTTTGTGCATCAAACCAATGAAGTTCTATTTATCAAGCTTGAATCAAGTTTGAATTTTGTGAATTTTAGTGTAGACTATTTTTTGTATCGAATATTAAAAAATAATATTTAGGATTTCTGTCAGATTTAAAGTAAATAATTAGCTTACCGAGGAGCGTGGAATTATTGTTCCATATTAACTGAGTTAAAAAATTAATTTCCATGAGATTTGGGGAAACAAGGTTTGTTTACTGAGAAACAGAGAGTTACTGTGCTTTACAAATTATACAGGGTGATTAAAAAATCACGTTCTGAATATTTATGAGGTTTAAAAAAAAATTTATTTGCTGAAGGACGTACAGTTATTATTGTACTCTACAGAGTACATTGAGCTTTCCCACTTTATTTTAACTAGGATATTATAAATGCATAAACCTATGAGACCTGCGCAGAAAATTATTTCGTCATTAGAAGATTCTAAAAATGTAACTTTTATTTTGCATATATTACATATCTCACATGTCGCATGTTTTTTGCATAAACTCACATTTCTTGCAAAAATGCATAATTTATTACAAATTTAAACATACGTATTCTATTTCTAAATATTATCACACATAAATTTACATTTTTTACACTTTTATTTTATTTTTTTTTTTAAGTTATGTATCAATTTTAAACTACTCTTGTATAAGAAATAAGTTTTGAGTTAAGTATCCATAAGTTAAGAAATAAAGCAAAGATTGGCGAATTTTTTTGTATATTTTGTTTTCTAAGAGTTGAAATATTAAACAAGAATTTTTTTAAATTAAAAAGAGTTTATTTTCTTAGGGTTAAAAATAAATTTTATACAAGATATTCGAAAAAATTGTATTATTTATCTTTTCATCCTATTTTTAATTTTAATATATGTATCTTGGATAATAAAGAATATACAAAAAGTTTGCACATATTTTGTTTCTGAAGTCTTATTGTTAAATGTATGTTACACAGAAGTAACCAATTTTAATATAACGAATTTGAAATATTAAAATTTAAAATCAAAATTTTGGCATACCACTGTTGTAAATTTAAATGTACCATCATAGTAATATGTGTCAAAAAAAGATTAGAAATTTAAGAACAAACTATTGTGATATATTATATCTTAAATTACAACAAATAAATTTTCCTATACGTATCGTACATACATTTTATATACAGGGTAGTTCATGCAACTTGTATACCATGAATAATTTTTAAAGTGTGCACTTCACTAAAAAATGTTATGGAGGAGTTAAAATAGCACTCATAGCACTAACAAACTAACCTTTGGTTAGTATTTTCGTCATCTCATGCAACTTTTGGGAAATAGAAATTAAACAATAAAGCAATTTTAAGAAATTGCCTCATTATTTAAAAAAGAAAAATTCTTACAAACTAAGTTTATAACTGTAATATGTAATTTATAGTTATAAATTATAATAATTATATAATTTATAAATGGAGGTTATATATATAATTTATTTTTCGTTTAATAAACATTACTTATTAGTTTAATAATTATTTAATTGTAAATCATTCCTGTACTGAAATAATTAATTATTAATATAAAGCGAAACGATGACTTTGCAAATGATGTTTTCAGATGTGGAACAACCTGACTTGCGTGGGTGATTTCCTGAATCGAGCCTTCTACAAACTAGGGCTGGTAGTCGGTCGACATCCCGGCTACTTTGTAATAGTTCCGGTTCTCCTGGCCTGCATCTGTTTCACCGGATACCAGAGGATCCATTACGAGATAGATCCAGAGTATCTTTTCTCTCCTACTAACGGTCCAAGCAAAATGGAAAGAGCGATCGTCGAACAGTACTTCAAGGTCAACTACAGCCACAGATTCAACCTGGGACGTATTACTAGGCCAGGTAATTTGGATTTAAAGAATTAACCCTGCGAACCCCTTCCCTTCTAGGTACAGGAATACTCGGTTAAATTCAACCGCGTTCGGGAATCAGCATTTGAATTCTCGTGATCAGAATAGCTTATTTATTAACTAATTCGAACGTTAACAAACGAAGATGACGGATAAATATAAGAGAAAATGAGATAGATACAAAAACCACTGCTAGAAAAATTAGATTTTTCCTCATTTTTATGTTTCCTTCGAGAAAGTGCTATCGATGCATCATTGAGATTCTTCCGGTTAAAATGAGTCCAAACACGATTTAAATTGAGTCAATTTTAATTATAATAATTAACTTCGTATAGGTAGCAGAATGAGACGTAATGACATAACAGAATAGTCTGAGTTATGTGATGTTTGGACTCCTTTTAATCAGAAGAATCCTAGCTATTGTAATATATAAAAAGAATATATAAAGAATTCCAGTACTATTCTCAGAAGGGTAAAATGAAGATCACACATATATATACATTCTTTATTACACATTTTACACACGTTTATTTCAATAAATTTCAATGGTGTCTCTCTCCTTGTTAGCTGCATATCAGGTTTCGCTGAGGTACTGACAATGAGTGATGGGAAAACAGTGGGAGTATTCCAATGTAAAATTAACCTAGGAAATTTTGGTGGAATTTAACCTAGGGAGAAGGTTAAAAATTAAAAAGGAATCTAACCTAACTTAACCTAACCTAATCTAACATAACCTAACCTGGTAGAATTTAATGGAGCATTATCGTAATAGGAAAAACTAGATTTCCATGCGAAGAATGGTTAAGTTTCGATGGAATATATGACGTAAGAAAAAAATGACACATTATTAGCGTGACTCTGTGAGAAGAGTAATGGCGACGTCAAAGTTCAAGGAGAAAGTGCATCAACTTCCTCGATAGCGTTTCCTTGTTTGTATTATGTGTAATTTCGTGCTGCATGGATTAATCGTGTATAGTATAGTTTGTTATTACCATGAGAACTTTCACGTTCCATTGAGCCACTATTAATTGTAATGACCCCTGACTAGTGGGACAGTCGACGTGGTTTCCTTTGCATTTTACTTTTCTCCATTCCCAACCTCTCGAATTGCTCGCGATTTGTATTGCTTTCGAACACGTTTCTATGGTTATTGTTGATTTGCCTAGGACGGTTTGGTCACGTGATCATCACATCGAAGGATGGAAACGATAATCTGTTGAGAGAAGCGGTGTTCAGAGAACTCATGGAGCTGGACAAGGCCATCAGGAACACTAAAGCAGTGTACGAAGGAACGCAGTTCACGTACAATCAGATCTGTGCCAAATGGTTGGACACTTGCTTCAGTAACGACATTTTGGACCTATACCATGTTATAGAGTAAGTATTGCCATGTTTTATAATTGTAGGATCATCGTCATGGATTACATTTGATTATACTAGATAATGAATATGAATCGGGTGTTCCAAAATTCACGCAAAAAATAATTTTGATAAGAAACACACGTTTTTATTTAAAAATTGTAAATATTGTTTAACAATGAAAACCCATTGTCCTTTCGTGTAGCGTTCCATTGTTAATGACCTTGAACTGTCAGCTGTCATGCTGTTTTCTTTTTGTTGACAACACCTTATCACATAAATGGCGCAAAATTCAAATTTTGCGTGATTTTGGGACACCCTTTAATAACAAATAATAGAATTCTCAGGTCAATGTTTGAAATTCCAAGCAAATTTAAAATACTGGGGGTTTAAAAAATAGGGTCCAAGACTTAAAAAGCTTATAGGCGGTATATTTATAAGTATACCGATTATTTATTGTATGTTTGTTGTAACGAAGAAAATTTATATTACATTTACGCCTATGAACTAGTATTTTTATCCATATTAGTAATTTTTTCGACAATCTTGAATTAACATATTTCTAAATTAATTTCTCTATTTACATTCGGGGTTTTACGAAGAAATTCAGTCATGATACTGAATATATATAATCAACAAAGCCGATTTTACGCTGAAGAGATTGGTTTCCGGATCTGCACTGATTAGACATCTTCTAGGCTCTACTTTTTAAATACTCTGTAGAGAACGCTATAGAAAGGACAATGGCATGTCTGGTTAAAAATTGGCCAATTTCTAGCATTGTCTTTTATAAGTGTACCTCCAAGACCTCACTTGGTCCACGCATTTTGGGATCTAAGTAGTCGGTAGCACTTTGCAGTGATGTGGAGAAAAGGGAGCTCAACTTGACGTTCCCCGTGACGCTAAACCCAGAAACCTGGCATATTCACCTGTTGCCAGTCTATTTTGGAGGTAGTGTGGTCAAGGAACGGGTGGTTGAATCTGTACCCTCTATGCAGCTGGCCTATTTCCTTAGAGCTGACAATACTCGCCAGGATGAAATGTAAGTCGATTGTCATAGGTTTTACACCCTTGCGATCTTGTGAATGGGATTCGACATTCCGTTTCATTCGATTCTTAATCTTTTAGCACGAAACGATACCCTTTGTATTCTAACCTAATTTCACGAAAATACGTCAACATAGATACATTACTTATAGTATAGTAAATTATTTGTTAGAGAACTTAACCTTTTACAGTCCTGCATTATTTACTTGGATTGGATATTCCGTTTTATTTAATTCTTTCTAACCTTTAAGCACGGAACGTTACCCTTCGTATTCTAACCTAATTTTACAAAAATGTATCAGCATAGATACGTTACATGTAGTATAAATTGTTTGTTAGAGAACTTAACCTCTTACGGTCCTGTATCGAATTTAGATTCGACATTCCGTTTTATTCGTTTCTTTTAAATTTGTTAACACGAAACATAACCCTTTGTGGCATTCCAAATGTTGATTCAGAAGTTATAGGAGACTAGTTTGGACCCTCTGCTCGTACCTAATTTTCAACTTCTTTCTTAACCTCCAATTCTTATTCTTTATGTTTCTCTTCTATTCTCCATTTTGTCCTATAGTTTCACCTTCTTCTTCTTATCTTTATCTCTTCCTTTCAGTTACCTTTTCTACTCCCAACCCCCTCTTTTTGTTTTTTCTTCTTTTTCCATATCTCGTTCCTTTGCGTACCATATTCCCAAGTTCATTTCTCGTTTCTCTAACCAGAAATTCACATGACCCTTTTTGTTTAAATGTAATTTGACAAAAGTATTGGCACGTTATTCATTAAAATAATGAAAATAGAAACTATGCTATATATAAATAGTATAGAAACTATACTATGCTATACTATCTATGAAAATAGAAACAAATTTTGTGTAGTCTTTCTAAGTATAATGGATTTTTTTTATTATGAACAGGTTGTGATGAGGTGTTGAATACAACTTAGGTCGCAAAGTATTAACACGTTCAATGCTGTCAAAATTAAGAACATATATTTGTTAGATTCAAAAATCTGTTTTTATTAATTTATTTATTTTGACCTATATAATTAGAATATTAGTCCTAGTATTTAGGTTAGAGTTTAGTCATTTAAAAATCAAAAGACACTATGAGATATTTCACAGTTGGTACCACTGAATACAATTTTTCTGCCGGTAAATCCCCTTAGTACTATCTCTGACACCGAACATGCTAAAAATCTTCATTATGTATCTTTCGTATCTTCGGAACAGTGGTGCAGCCTGGGAAGAAGCATTTCTAGAGACACTGAGGAAAGTGGAAGAGGATAATATCTTTAAACACATTGCTACTGCCAGGTTCGCTTCCAGGACATTGGAACTAGAACTAGAGGAGAACACTAAAACCATAGTGCCTTATTTTTCGAGCACGTTTATCCTTATGGCTTTGTTCTCCGTGGTCACTTGTATGATGACTGATTGGGTACGTAGCAAACCATGGTTGGGGCTTCTTGGAAACGTCTCTGCAGCAATGGCTACCGTGGCAGCATTTGGTCTCTGCATATACCTGGGGGTCGATTTCATTGGACTCAATTTAGCCGCACCGTTCCTTATGATTGGTGAGTTAACACGAAACATTATATTGTGTTTTCAGATAACCAAGATCAGGGTTTGTAAACCTTTTTATTCACCACTGTTTTCACGGTGAACATTTTTTACGATTCTGGGTACAAATGAAAGGTAGTAAAAGAAATATTTTAACCAATCGTTTGTTATATAAACTTATAATTTATTACTACTTATTAGGGCTATTTATTCGTTAAAAATAAGTTTAGAAACAAAATGAAAGATAGAAAATAATTACAAAATAAGAATAAAAATAAAAATGAAAGGTAGGAGGATAAACAAGTGTACCTTCCTGATTAGTGTGTAAATTTATTTTTTATTTCCTAATTATTTTTATTCCAAATGTTTTTGATGGTTTTCGTAATTGTCTGTGCTTATGAATATTTTAGAATTTAATTATAATTCTATTGCGTAACCCCTGATCGACATCCAGAACTATCCACGACTTAAAAAATCCAGGCTTACATAAGTATCATTGACTAATTTAATGACCAAATAATTTTAGTAAAATAATCACTGGAATAATTGAAATAAGTATCATTTTCCTCCGAAAATTTGATATATTGACTAAAAAATGACGTTAAAATCAGTCACAAGTGTCTAAAAAGATGAATACACCAAAAATTTTTCTGCAATCCTTTTTCAATCTTCATATTTTGTTTTGAATGAAAGAAAAGAATTTTCTTTTCTCTTGATAAATGATAATTATTCTTCCTTATCTATCCCATCTGAAGTTCGAATTGCATTTGGGAATGGCACACTTATAAAATTTTGTGATATATATACATCCCTATTATAATATATATCACAAAATCCAATTTTGGAATTTTTAGTCAATTAAAAAATCGTGTTGTATGTATACCCATTATATGTACCTATATTTATCATGATACAATAACGATACTAATAATATATATTTCTATTATAATGTTATAATATATATACAGGGTATCTCCAAAAAACGTATATACACTTTAATACCTTATTCTTTCTAATTTATTTTTTCTTTTCTAGGTACAACCCATTTAGAATAATGGTTGATTTTAGACTAGACTTTGAAAACCGTAAATATATTTTAAAATGTTACCATAAGTATAAAAACATACTGGACGTGCAAAGATGGTTTAATCAAACAGTAAAATATATACTGTTTTTATAATCACACAAAGTGTGTATACATTTTTCTGGGACACCCTGTATATTTCTTCTTTCTTTTTCCAAGCCATTTAAGACGGCTTTTAACGTCATTTTCTAACTGATATGAAATTTCTCAAGTAAATGGCACTTATTTCATTTAATTTATTGATTTAAAGATTGAATACTGTATGTTAATAATTATTTTTCTGAAACTAATTGTTCATCTCACTTCCTTTGTGAGAACTCGAGAAAGAGTCGGATATAGAACTAAATTAGTATTCTTTCGACGTAAATTCTACGACAGTTGCGTTTCTAAGATTCTAACAAGAGACTGATATACTGCTTTTCACCGATGTTCAACGCATCTGTACTTTCTTTCACGATCCAACGTGTTCGATGTAGGTCAAATAAATTCTGCGACTGGTTCATGTAATATGAAGAAAATTACGCTCAGAAGCAAGGTGTCGGTGCAAGTTCCATTTTTAATGAAGTCAGAAGAAACATAACTTATTATGGTTTCAATTTACATTTCCTAGATCGTTAGAAAAACAGCGACGTTGATGGCGCTATACGAAATGAATGATTAATGAAAAGTGTTTTATATGAATTCCGAGAATGATAGATGCGAATGAAACCACAAATTGATGTGAGCTGCATGATCCCTTGGGGGTATTATGCAGTCCAGTCTTAACTCATGATGCATCAGCTTAAGGGGAGACATACAGTGTGGGAAATGAGAGAGTGATAGCATACTCTATGTTAGTTTTTAAAATTTTTTCACTCCTGATCTTTTTCTTCTGAAGAAAATTTTTCGCGACTTCCTTCTTTTGAAGATAATTTTTCGCTTCTTTCTCCTTTCGAAGAAACTTCTTCACGACCTCCTTCTTCCGAAGATAATTTTTCGCGATTTTCTTCTTTCGTGGAGAAATTTTCGCGATCCTCTTTTTTTCAAAAATAATTTCCTGCGCTCCCTTTCTTCCGAAGAAAACTTTTCGCAACCCCTTTCTTTTGACGAAAATTTTTTCCAAACTCCTCTTTTTCGAGGAAATTTTGTTCAAATCCCTCTTTCCAAAAATACTCCATGAAGTTTTTTAAAAATACTCTATGATTATTGCCTGACAAATAATATAATATATGATAACAGCTAGAAAAGACATATAATGCTTCGTTATTGCATTCTACATATTATAATTTGCATTATATTTTTAACTTTAATCAAGTAGTTTAAAATGTTTTAAATCAAAATGGTCTTCGTAATTATCTTTACCTACTAATATTTGAGAATTTGATAGATACACATTATAAGTTTTTCATAGACAACTTCAAACCGTTATAACCCAAGAAAAAAAGAAGATATAGGGGAAAGTTTACAGTACCGACCAGTTTACAGTAACGATCAGAGCTAGTTTTCGCTTGTCGCATTAGATACTGTCAAAAATAAATTAATATAGTCGACATGTGGAAGACTTCCGGTTTGGTTGGGAGAGTGAACGCACATGTTATATTAATTGCAAATGACATAAAACCTGAAAATAAAAAATAGTTGGCACGTGTCATATACGGCGCCTTTTTGTTTCTCCACTGTTTCTCGATTTTATGAAGAGTTATGGAAGCACGTTTATAAGTGTGCTGAAAGTACATCTTCAGAGCTCATTTTATTTCTTCGGAAAGTAAATGATTTTATTTTTCTTTTCTTCTAGCATCCCTAATCTATTAAAAATGATAAAGCACTCTAATTTTGCAATTTTTCGTGTATATTAATTTAATTTGTTACTACATGTTTGTCGTGCAGTGCTGATTGTCTTTGTACCGTACAGTACAAAGTTGTCTTTGTACCCTATCTAATACTGCACGTATTAGTGTACACTAAACTTCTTTTTCATCTGTAAGTACAGTCTATGGATAACTCGAAATAAATTAGAAAATGATTCTTAGTTTTTTTTAAAATTATATCAGTGAAATTAGAAAATAATTCAGCGATATGCACGATACATATAATACATTTATTGCAGATGCGAACCGTGGTGGCGCTAGTGAGTTACATGGAAAATCGTCTTAAGGTTGTCATAAGCAACAAAAGACTTCTTAATTAATACTGTTTTTGATTAATATTATACGTTATTTATGCAATATTCTTGTGATTCATCAATGGTACATGCTTGTAATAAATGTATCATAAATATCGTTGAATTATTTTCCAATTATTCTGATATAATCTTTAAAATCCTTTCTTGCTGTATACATCAGTTTTGTATCAAATATTTTAATTTAACACGCATATAGCACTTTTTAAAGACAACATATGTAAATGTTTCAATACTTCCATGTATGAATGTATATTATTTTTAAATTTTCATATAGAAACTTTCTATTTTTTTAAACTATAGCCCATGAAATTTTTACAGAACATTCTTCAAATTATATATGTACATTTAAATAAACCAATAATAGAAAATTAATTTTTTGAGCCCCTTAAGAACATATCCTCCTTTCTAATCAGGGGTTGTTATAACAAAAATAAGGAAAGGTTATAGAATAACAATTATATTTTTCTTTAAATGATTTTGCTCATAATCGAAAGAAAATCTTAATCATAATAATGGTCGCTCATAATAATCTTCACTATCTATAATTACTATTCGCAATCAAAAACAATTCTCATTATTTGCAATGGAAAAAAATTAAATTTTTTTATCATTGTATTTTTGAAAAATTTTCTTTTCCAATTTAATGATTGCGTCGTATATGAAAATATGAATAAAAATCAACATTCCATCAATGATTTTTCTCGAACAAATTTTGAATAATTGTCATTTTTGGTATCTGTTTAAAATGATCAGTTGGCGAAAAGAAAAAATGAGGATTTCAAAACGATCCGGTCGAATGTGTGCAATGATCGTCGGTAATCGAGTTGCTTGGTGGCGAATGCATGCGAGCGCAACGACGGAAGGGAAAAGTGCGAGGACTTCCGCTTTTCACGCAAATCACCCGGTGCTAGTAGATTCTAACCTGTTCCCTAATCTGTGCCCACTCGATCATAACGAAGAGGGCTGGTAAATACAATGTTGCAATGATTTCGTCAATAACCATTGCATTGTTCAGTTGGTTTCTCTAGTGTACACAATCTTCGAACGAACTCGTTAGAAATGCGGCTTCGTTATACAATTATTATACTTCCTGCTAAAATATACATTTATTATTGCCTGAAAGGTATTAATACCACAGTTACCATATGAGTCAAAATGATTAGCACTTACTGAAAACATACAGATTCCTTTGAAATTAACCCTTTGTGGCATAATACTTTTATTTATTACATCAAATATCGCGCACATCATGGCAAAAAAATAATTTCATTATTTTCACCATTGTTCTCGACGTTTTATTTAAAAAAATTTCTGTTTGTTTATTATTTCCTCCGAGTTACCACGGTAGGTAAGAAAGGTATTTGCATTCCATGTTTACAAGAAAATTCACCTATTCGGAAAATACTGATTTTAATACAAGTTTGTTTATATCTATAAAAAGCACAGTGAGTTCTACATGGAGTAATTTTTTTGCGAACGAAAAATTTTGTTCAAGGAACCAAACAGGCACCCAAAACTTCCTTACCTTTTCGTGCTCTGAATATAATATTTTTTCCGAATATTTTTCACCAAAATATATTATAATTACAAACTTGTTTCGTATTTTACTTGAATTATATTTGGAATACAAAAGCGAATTTTCCTTTCTTCTTGATAAGCATATTCGACAGTAAACAAGAAAATTGCCATTGTTTCGTGTCGGATAAATTCGGCATAAACATACCTCTTATCTGCAAAGGGTTAATGGTAACTTTCGTTCGGATAGTAACTATATCATCTTCGCCAAACTATCTCGATTATCAACGTTCCTCTATAGTATAGTTAACGTTGCAGGCCGGTAGTTTGAGTGTTACATGAAATTCAAAGTTTTAGGTTATCGGATGAAAAAGTTGGGCTGCACGGATGGCAAGGCGGGGAAGAGTATGGAAATCGGTCGTCCGTGCTTGAAATTGAATAAATGCGTTTATTAGCTGTTATAAATCGCCCTCCAAATGTAGACGGGCTGAATCACGAATAAACTGGCCATTCTGATTCACTCGACGCATTAACTGCCGCCTCGTTATCGCGATAATGGCGCTGCGGTCATTTTTATACCGACCTAAGGGGTGTTCGCCGATGTGATTCACTGGGGTCACGTTTCATTTCTCCAGTCTCGATTGTGCTAATTCGTGACGAAGTAATGTAATTCTGTCAATTGGTTCAATGATTAATTTGTTTACAGGTATTGGAATAGATGACACGTTCGTGATGCTGGCTGCCTGGAGACGAACCAGTATAATGAAACCGGTGCCTGAAAGAATGGCTGCCACACTTAGCGAGGCCGCTGTCTCGATTACCATTACCTCCCTGACCGACATGATATCGTTTTTCATTGGGATTCTCTCGCCATTTCCCTCGGTCCAAATTTTTTGCATCTACTCCGGTATGTACTTGATAGTTCGGTTTAAGGTCAGCAGCTAAACCGGGAGATCGGTTAAATGATCTGTTTACTCTCTTTTTGCCACAGGATTCGCCGTAGTCTTCACCTTTGTCTTTCATCTGACCTTCTTCACTGGCTGCGTGGCCATTAGCGGTTACTGTGAGCAAAAGAATCTCCATAGCATAGTATGCTGCAAAGTGCAACCCCTGTCTAAGTCTAGTGAGTATTCATTCTCTCTTTTTCAGTCATCTCAAATTTTTCTAAAGTAATCTTAATTCCGTTACCTCTGATGGCTATAGTTAGGGAACAGTTTATAATATCACACCAATTCAGCACCTAATTTTGGCAAGGGAACCATATTCAACATTGTACATTGATCAAAAGGTGATCAAAAGTTATACCAAAAACAGATGAAGTCTTGGTGCTGTAGCCTGCTATCTCAAGAATTGGCACAGACCTTGATATATTTTTCCTGACAACTTAATTGAACTTAATTTGATAATTCATCTTGATAAATATAATCAAGTCATACATCAAATTTGATGGTATTTTGGCGATAGAACTTGTACCGAGTTGTTTAAAAATTTTCTGGCAACGACAGATTTAGTTCACAGAATATCTTACACCCAACATATTTTCAACACTACTAATTATAATGCTATTTATTAGTTTGTAAATTATTACACGAATGATCAATTGATCACTTTTCATCCCCAATCCAAGCTTTTCTAATTTAGAATTAAAATGTACGTATTAGGTGGTTCCAAAGCGAGTTCGACAGGTCTCACGTTTAAGTAACATGAAGAGGCTGTGCTGCTAAAAGAGAAAGAAATGAAGGTGGAAGTGGATGCAGACGCGTTTCTTTGTTACATAACTGTTCAAGAATCCGCGTGAACGGTAAAAGTAAAAGTTTGTCGACCATACGACTCATTTCGGTTACTACATTCGATGTAACCATCCTGTTCACGTGTGAATGTACATATACGTACGTGTTGGAAGTAACAGGACCCATTAAATGCCCAAAGAAGACACCCGGAATACTTTCACGGGCTGAACCACGCCGAACGTATCATTTGCCAGTTTTGTTTGTACTTTCATTTATTTCTCGCTTACCACAGAACTTTCTATGTTAAGCAGCTGGACCTCAAGGCCTTGGGATCATTACTACAGTTCTTTGTTACCGTTATTCCCATTCTTCAAACGGAAGTTATATCAAAACCTACGTTAAAACAGATGTTCTAGAAAATTCCCCAACAGTTATTGTTTTGCTGTTAGAAACTGATAAATGTCTACTAGAAGAGGAAAGTTAATACAAATCACTGGCCATTTTGATCGAGAAAGCCGGAAGACTTAGCCTAAACGTTGTTGGGTCTCTAAAATGATTTATAAATCGTAGTTTGATGTCCTGTTGCACTAGGAAGTCCCTTATAATTCCCTAGACTGATTACAAACAAATAAATCACTTTAACGGTAGTGTGTGGTCATAATTGGTGCATAGTCCTGGCTGAAATTGATCAATGTGCTGTCTAAGCTAGGTTATTTCTACCATACAAGCCTTTAACACCTTCCTGATCACTTGATCAAAAGCGAAGATTCTAGATCTGTTATGGGAGCTGCCGCTTACGTCAGAAAAGCGTGCTAGGTTACGTTTGAGCATCGCTAATTCGTTAGATCACTGTACCATTACGTAACCATGCTACTTTCTCTTAGGACAGTGTCAACAGTTATGAACAATGTCATCGCGATTATTTTTACATAATCCCTTCCTGCTTTCAGCTGCCGAAAAACAGCTGCAGAGTCAGTATCTGCTTCCTTCCATGATTACATATCGTCGTCATGTAACTTTGGTGAAAGTACCGTTTCAACGTCGTCCTTTGCAATTTTGGTACCGAGATGTTTTATACGGGAAACATGACTCAGAGTTTTTATTCTCATGCGCGTTGGTCGGTTTCGAAGATTCGTGGTCATTGGAATTTATCACGAAAACTTGCTACTGTGCCTGGATTAAAAAGAATTAGCGATTGGTAATCAATAAAGGTGGCGACATGGTCAGCGTATCTTGGAAATCGATTGTCCTCATCAGGAGCACGTGCTTGGCATAGTAATGTAATTAACATTGTCATTTGGTGCGTGACATTGTACCGACATTCCCTGATGCCTTTGTTCCCACTAGACAATGACTTCATCACGCTTTTTCCCACAATAGTTTCAAGTTTCAAAGTCAAAGACAATGCATTCCCCGTGGAAACGGCGGTTGTTGTATACGTACTCTGCAAACTGACAAAATGGTTAATTAACAGCAAACAAATGTTATTTTCTTTTCCAGTGAACAGATCATGGTTTTATAGAGCATTATGCACCGGAGGAGTCGATCCGGATGATCCGTATAACCCTACCGATAACCCGGAACATGGCTGCATGAGTTGGTTCAGGGATTACCTTGCTGCTGCGTTGAATTGCAGACCCGTCAAGGTTATCATCATCCTGATATTTGCCTGTTATCTAGCTGGTGCTCTTTACGGGCTAACGACTCTTCAGGAGGGTTTGGACCGTCGCAAGCTCTCCAAGAATGATTCTTACTCGATTGCTTTCTATGACCGTCAAGACTACTACTTCCGGGAATTCCCCTATAGAATACAGGTACGATCATTTCCACCTTAGGAAATGAATTTTTAGTAAAAGATGCATAGGTGAAAATTATAAATAAAATTATAGTGTAAAAGTCCTTAAGATTTTAATCGTCAGGAGATCTGCAAAAATGAGAATGAGAAAGTCCTCTTATCCACGTCCAGGAACCAAGATCAACTTCAGAAGATTCGTCAACCTCCGAGTAATTCGCCACTCGCAATTATGTCACGTGGGTAACTTTCTCTTAGCGTAGTGGAATCAAAGAAAAGTGACTGGCATTGCGTCAGATAGTGCTCTCGCGATTTTTTTGGTTCAGCTCAGAGGACGTTCGCTTGGACGTTCGAGTACCGTTAAGAGTATCTCATTCTCCGCTCCAGAAATTCGTAATTGGTAGCTTCTGGCGAAAGAGGTGTGGCTGGAAGACAATTGATTGCTACCTGAACTGTAAGAGGGCTTTCAAGTTCACAGAAACTTCTCTTTATAATTCAATGTCTATTCTGCACGTTAAATTCTTTTATGTTATTAAATACAATTAAAATGGAAATGAAAAACAAATGAAAATAGGGTGAAGAAGATTTATTCGACAAAAGTCTAAGAAATATATTTAGGCGGAAATGAAATAATCAGTTAGAATTAGCTATTTATTAATTACCTGTTCTGAGTAGATCCAAGCATTTAGAAAGAATTTTCTCATCTTGTTTTAGGTAGTAGTAAGCGGAAAATATAATTATAATGATCCAGTGATCCAAGAACAAATGGAGAATCTAACCAGATCCTTGGAAGCCAGCAAGTACATCAGTAGCGCCCCTATCTACACGGAAAGTTGGCTTAGAAATTTTCTGAGCTATGTCAATAGTAGTGAAAGTGACGTAGACATTAAGGATGAGAAAAACTTTATTAAGGAGTTAAAAGAAACCTTATCTCCTAGAAGCAGCTATTCCTTGGACGTAAAATTCGATCAGACTGAAGAACATATTATAGCCAGTAGGTTTCTTATCCAAGCAGTGAACGTGAGTGGAACTAACCAGGAAAAGGATATGGTGAAGGAACTTCGACGGATTTGCGACCAGTCTCCATTGAATGCCAGTGTCTTTCATCCGTACTTTGTGTTCTTTGACCAGTTTGAACTGGTTAAACCCACCAGTATCCAATGTATGATCTTTGGCGCTCTGATCATGATGTTGATCAGCTTCATTTTTATTCCTAATGTAATGTGCTGTTTGTGGGTAGCCTTTTGCATTATTTCCATCGAATTGGGAGTGGCTGGTTACATGGCATTGTGGGATGTAAATCTCGATAGTATATCCATGATTAATCTTATCATGTGTATAGGTTTCAGTGTTGATTTCACTGCTCATATTTGCTATGCCTATATGAGCTCCAAACAGAAGACATCAGAGGATAAAGTTAAAGAAAGTTTATACAGTCTTGGTCTCCCAATAGTCCAGGGAGCCACTTCAACAATTCTAGGATTGATAGCCTTGGTACTTGCAGGAACATACATCTTTATGGTATTCTTCAAAATGGTGTTCCTGGTGATATTTATAGGAGCAATGCATGGCATGTTCCTACTTCCTGTTCTACTCTCTTTATTTAGTCCTTCATCAGACAAAGATAACAAAACAGACTTAGAGAAAACTCAACAAAAAAAAGTTTCAGAAAAGGATCTTAATTGCAAACTGCCACAGCCTTATGTGATTCCACATCCAACTTTAACATACTATCACCCTTCTGGAGCTGTCAAGAGTCTTCAAGGTAGCCCTGCAACCAGCCTAGCTGCCTTTGAAGACAGAGATCCTGGTTTGGGTACCAGTGAAGACAGTAATTCTACAGAAAGTGGCTCATCACAAAGTAGAAGAAGGGAAGGACAGCTGGAACCAGAACACCAAAGGCAGCATGATGTTTGGAGAAGATCTATAGGTGTTCTCTATGGGACATCCCAGTTCCAGACTGCTTCGCCTCCAGCTGCACCTCTACCAGATTTTTCTGGGACACTCCAAGAGGTCCAGAATGATCAAGAGCGAAGAGCAGCTAGGACAGTATCTTACTTAGGACCATATCCAGTTTATAGGGCTGCTGCAAATCATCTGCATAGGGATCATAGGAGGAGTAGATCATACCATAATCTCCATCAATCATCCAGGTACCTGACTGAACCACGTTATCCTTAAGGATATCTTTCAATGAAGGAGAATTGTGAGTGTAGCCTGTGCATGGATTACATAGAATGGGCATATCTCTACTTCTGGCCCTCTTTTATTTGTCTGGGGTAATCATTGAAAATACAATTTTTGAAAATAGGAAATTTGCCTTAGAAACTGATAGTCAGGCTCCTATGACTATTGGCAATTTTCTTGTGGTTGTAAATATAAATCAGTGGTTGAAAGACGAGTGATTTATTGGGTTCCTTTTCTGGAAGGGATATTTAATAAAAAAGAAGTTTCCTCTGATGGAAATAGAAAACATAAGTGACATACAATAAGACTTGCGTTTCAAGTGTGAGTTCTAGAAGACCGTCAGAGAAACTATATCACAAGTTAGGATCCTTTAAAGAATTATATCAGCCTGTATTTTTAAAACACTTCAGATCTGTTTTTCTGTGATTACACTTGAAAAATAAAAAATAAATTAATTGTAAAGTTTTAAAAATTCAGGCTGAAGTAACCAAACAGTGAATTTGATATGTTTTTACCTTGAACCGAATGCATGATAATGAACTTTTCCTCTACTAATTTTGTGAAAGCGTTAGGCTAGTAGTTTTTAGCTATACCAGCAAACAATAGCAGTTACCGCGTATAAGTCAGTCAAAGATCGTGGAAAATAATGAAAATGATTCTTCACGATCCATGGTTAGCGTATAAGAATAAATCTGCTCAATGGAAATCAAAACCAAAATACAACAGCAGGGAGAACCTCTTTCTTAAGCACAAAATTTAAAGTATCATCAATCGTGCCTTACCATGAAATGTGTTCTTGAAGAAAAAGGAAGATTAAATTGTAAAATAACTGCGAAATAGATTTATAACCTTAATCATGTGAAGGAGAAATGAAATCGAATGGCATCATTGAAAATTTCAGTGGGTATTCGATCGAGGAATGAGCCAAGGCCAATCCTCCCCTGACGTTTCTCTTCTTTGTAATTCTATCACGCCCCTGCGTTAAAATGTGTGACACATGGATGCAGGGTATGACTGGAGGTCAGTTTGTACGCATTTCTCAATGGAGACGTGCGAAGGAAACATCGTTTTTTTCTTCTATTTTGCGAAATTTAAAACATTAGTGTTGGAAATTAATCGACTTACTTGAGCTGATGATTTTATTTTAAAAATTAATCATTGATCACGTTGGAAAAATTATACAGTATCCTTTGTTCAAAAGAGGCGGGTATTATGAATGTAAGAACTTGGTTTAATTAATCCCTTTGATTATAGTTTTGAAAACAGTTCAATGAATTTTCGATAAAATTCGTAGAAATGTATGCCTATAATTTTTAAGTGGATGAAATAAACGATGCATCCAGCATGTTCAGCACAATCTTTTCTGTATAGCACTAAGTATGTGTGTTGGTGAGTGAGTGAGTGTAACGAATATTATGCATTGTCACAGACTGGCAGTTGCCATTGAAAAACTCTTGTAAACGAAATATATTCTGGTAATGATTTCCTGTTGACTATTTCCCAGATCCATATTCATCTTGTTTTCCTTCTTTTATTTGTAAATGAAAAAAAACATTTATGAAAATATCTATTTAAAGGGGAAGAGATACACAATTAACCAATTAAAACAAGAATTAGCAGGTACTACGAATAAAAAATTTTCTTAAAACCTTTTTATTTCTGGTTAAATAAACAACAATAAAAAAATTTAGCATGAAATTATATATATTAACATAGAACAGAACCTTTAAAAACGATTTCCTTTTATTCATGGTTTAAAACACAATCTTGTGCTAAGATAATTTATCAACAGTCGGTATTACCGTATCAACAAGTTTCTTCTGTAATGCAAGATTTTTATACAGACTTCGATGATATGACAGGTTTCTTTAATTATTCAGTGTAATTATAAATGTATCACGCATTTCTAATAGGACATTTCTAAATATCTCCATATTAAATTTCATGAGTTTTTTATGAGAAAGGAAGAAGTATGAGATGCAGACGTGTACATAAAATAGCAAGGTAATAGAGTTGTAAGGTAAAAGAAGAATCGTGTTCTTAGAAGCTCTTTTATTTCTTCTCACGAGTTCGGCCATGCATGAAACACCCAGCTTAAAGTCGACTTGCATCTTTTGGGATATTGCATCTTTCGCGTTCTGGATAGAGGGCGATTTTCAAAGGGTTCCATCGAAACAGAGATTACCTTGGAATTCCTGCACGCATGGAAGAATGCTATCAAGGCATTGTGTATCGCTGTCTGAAGCAACAATGGCATTTATGAGCTCAGAAAATTTTTCCAGACTGCATTCGCTCTTCAGACTCTCATAACCTCCAACATGTAACATTGTACCGTGCATTTTTTCAAATTTAAGGTAATATTTCATAATTTCACGAAATTCAATTTTCTTTTTAAGAAACAAGCTGATTTATTAATGTACCTAAAATTGATGTTCATATTTTCATTTCTAGCAAGCGGAATTTTTCCACCGTCCCGACATAGAACTGTTTTAAACGTTTTATCCTGTTATCTCGCCAGGATAACAGTTCCACCTATCGAACGCAATACGCTTCGATAGAGCAATTTGCTGTCAGAGAAAACAGGAATACTGGCAGAAAATGTTTGCTGGGGCAGAAAGTATTATTTTTTTTTCAATATTGCATTAACATATTGCTAGAAAGTAAGGTTATACGAACTAACAGACTTGTAATGAATTTCGTAATCGTTCGATTGCATTTTATTTAGTAATTTATTATAGGTTATTGTGGCGATGTATACATAGCTTAAATACAACGTAGATTTAATATTCCAATTTACTCTGCTGCAATATCTACGTACTACGAGGGTCGGACCTAATGCTTCATCAAAATTGGACCTAATGCTCCAGGTAGCTCACTCACAATTTGTTCGTATTAAGTAACAGAAGTTAATTGAGTTGCAGTATCCGATGTCATCAGCTAGCTTTAACTGTAATCGCTGTAAGCACTCCCTCGGCCAAGTGTTTTCGCGTAATTTCGTGTACCTCGAGCTACTGATCGGACAAATTGATTTGCTTCCACCTGGAGGATGAACATCCCAGTAATCCATTCCTATTGGAGGCGCCTCCTGATATCATTGAACAAACATCATTCTACAGCGTAGCACCGCGACCCGACAACATCACGCAAACGTCGACAACGTTATTGGACATGGGACGTCCAATCAAACCTGTATTCATAGAACGTTGTTGGCTCGTGCGTTCACAACTTCCTATCACAGCTCGCTGTATCACGAGTTTTCCTCTTTTTCCTCCAAATTTTACTATTCTCTAGCAGTCAGCTTCACCTGTGTTCTCTTAATTTCCAGCTCAGTCGTACAGCCTGTTTCTACACGAGCGGAGACCAGCTGAGAAAATATTCATCAAACTACTAGAGTAAAAGCTCTCTGCCATTGCTTCTACCTCATTTCAAGCGTCATGATGGAATATTGGATAAATTAGCATATCGACTAGGAAGTATTTTCGTTTACCGTCCAAATCAGGACGGAATCGCCATTGCCAGAACCCAGCCAAATTTCACATTCGGTGGAATTCCTCCATCCTGGGGTAACTCGATCAGCCACTCGTTCCTCCACGAATCTCCGTCCGTTTGAGGAGGATGCCGGTTCAAAGGGCTCGATACTCTGTCGTCAGATCTGAGGCAATCCTCGTTCAGCCGGTTTAGAGGCAGACCGAATTATCCGGTTGCGGATTCGTCGAAAGTGTACATCAGCTGGAGAATTATTAACAGCGAGCTTGTCGGCGGGTTATGTAACGAGTCGGCGTGCATCTCTCAGTTGTGAGTTATTGTCGGGAATCCTTAGGCGAGTTCCTAGCCGGGGAGAAACCTGACGAGTATCCTGACAAGCAGCCTGTTGCGTGACCTGGCCGATCAATATCTGTACAGGCGCAACACCCGCAAC